TTATTGAAAGGACATTCATTCTTAACCCTTTTACGCATATGTTATTCACTGGGTTTTAGCTCACTGTTTATATTTATATGTAGGTGTCCAGGCACCGGACCGATGCTAGGAGCGCCAAGTTAAGCTTCCGTTTTGTCAAGCCAACCACCGTGCCTCACCTCAAGGTTCCGAGTTTGTTCAAGCTAAGGCTATTTTGGGGTGTCTCAGTTTCACCATTTTGTTTCAGATCTGTAATAAATGTGTAAGTTTTGACTGTACGAAGGGACTTGGTCCCTATCCTGGATGTTATGTATATGTCTGATATGTATATATGTTTTATTTATCAACATGACTTGTGCATAAAGTCTTTTTGCATTCAGACTGTCACAGCTCATTGGACATCTTTTATTGACTGTTTTGGCTTCTGTCAGCCCCTTTTTACTTTGTATTACTGTCATTACTGTTAAGCAGACCTTCAGTAATCACGGATTACTGGCCGGTTACGGTGCTAAACCCATAGGGGCGGGTTTGGGTCATGACAGATAATAACATGTTACTCTTACAATATTGTTTAAGAAAGAAAAATATATATATTTTGTTTTGGAAAAACACTTTTTTTTTGTGAAAAGAAATTTTTTTTTTTTTTTTTTTTTTTTTTTTTTTTTTTTTATGTTTTTTTTTTTTTTTTTGGTTGTGAAAAGTAAGGGAAGCGAATAAAAAAAAATAAAAAAATAATGATGAATAAAAAATAATAAAGGAGGGAGTGGGGAATAGGGCGAATCGAGAACACCAATTAAGCTGGATAATAAAAAAGAAAGTTTGGGCGGTGGATGGGTGTGATTAATAAAAAAAAAAGAAATTAGAAGATAGGCCAACTAAGCTTTATAATAATGAAAATAAGGTTGGGCGGTGGATCAGTGTGATTAAAAAAGAAAAAGAAGGAGGAGTGGTATCTGTGTTGGTGAGAATAAAAATATTGTTCAGGAAAGAAAGAAAAAGAAAAATAATGTGTCAAAATGAGTGGAGACAGATGGCTTAGCATATTGTTCAGGAAAGTGATAGGAGATAGGAGGAGAGAGAGTGCAGATTGGTCAAGTCTAACAATGGCCGGCCTTTGAAAGTTTACGACTTTCGTCATGTTTCCAAGGACGAGAACGCTGCCGGGTCCAACGATGTTCACCGGGTTCGGAATCGGTGCCGGTTCAAGAAGTCAGGTGCTGTTGTCAAGCCTAAGGCTTGCCTGGTTAATGGGGGTGAGTTGAATCGGTCGACGAGTCACGAGTCGTCGCTGAGTCACCTGTCTCAAGCAGCCGCGGCGGCGGCGGCGAATGTGGACGGTGAGAGCCGGGAGGTAGAGGAGAGCTTGGATACTGCGGAGCCGGATGAGTCGATGCTGAAGACGAATGATTCGTCTGGTGACGGCGAGATTGAGCTGGAGCTGACGCTGGGGTTCGAGCCGGTGTCGAGATATCACAGCGTGAGTCAGGAGAGGAATGAAGAGAGTCGTCGGCGTGAGTCGTCCGATGATAGGATGGAGCTGGAGCTTGACTATCCGGTGCGTCCGAGAACTCGATTGGTTAGCTAGAGTTCAGTTTTGAGTTTGGATTTTTTTTTTTTTTTTTTTTTTTTTTTTTGATTTATGGTTTTACCTTTTTGCCCTTTGTGAAACGACATGTACAAATGTGATTACATATATATATGAATAGAGGGGACAAACAAATCCAACAGTGAGAAGTCTTGCAACGCCATTGAGAATGTTTGATGGAATGGATGAGGAAGAAGCTCCAAAGAAGAAGCCAGAGGTGATAGATGGTCCTGTGCTAACTGAACGTGACAGAACAAAAGCCGAAGCGGAGGAAAGAGAGAGACCATAGTGGCACCGATTGTGGCCGTTGTTGGCCGTTGTTGGAAGGCGCAACTGAGCTGTCTATACTCACCGGCGGCGGAAGCGGAGGACCGAAACTGGGAGGTATGGCAGACATGTTATGTGCTAACAGTTGCGACAGCTTTTTAAAACCTTGATTAGATTGCATATTTTTCTTACATAATAGGCATAAATGATACATAAATATATTAATATGTTGTCATGTACTACTGTGTTTGCCCTAGCCACCCCATGTCCTAATTTTTAAAGATTTATATGTCGTCATGCCTGTATCATGATCCCGTCTCTATGTATATTATTCTACATGGTCTAAGGCTGCATTAGTACAATGCTATGCCACTTCAAACATGACTACTATTGTAATTCTTTACAAGCTACATACATGAAAGTTTTATGTATAAATAAAGAGAAAGAATTGTGTATTAAAATGTTGTATTGAATATTGATTGTATGTAATAAAGAGAATGAACTCTCTATTTATAGAGAGAAATCTGAGGCATTGGATACCACAAACCCACTACCACCGAAAGCTATACAATTAATAAGTATATACTAAAGCTAAAGTTATTCAACTAACAATGATATACTAATTAACAATTATATACTAACAATACATATATGGATACGTATCGAGAAACAACATGCATCTTCCAAAGAAAAGGGTTGATTCAACATCATAAATACAGTCATCATCAGGTTGTATCACTCAAATGGATATCAGATTTTAATAATATATGCATTCTAGTTAAGTGCAAAGTTCGAAAAATGAAATATAGTAAATAAATATTTATACGCACATTAAAGCTAACACATACTTTTTATAATGAGGAGCATCCCTGTCCAAACGAGCCAGGGTGCCAGCCAGAATGGAGACCTGAAGGATCAGAGTACATTCAAATGACAGAACATTTAACACACCAAAAAAGAAAACAATAGGTCAGATCCTTATAAAGCAAAAGGGTATATGATTCAAAACTAAAGAGATAATGACCATATAACACAAGTTGGTGGCCAGTATGAAGCATAAAAGAAATGAAGGATTGCACACGGTGTGCATTGACAATATATAGTTGTCTTAAAAAGGAAAGATTTCTCCAAAGTTATAGTGTACGTCAATGTGTGTTTTCTTTTCTTTTTTTAATTTATTTCATTTTTTCCAGACCAATAACGATTGTAAGAAAAATTATTTTATGTTTCACATTGGAGCTCATCAAGATATATTGCAACATGTGCTAAAAAAAGTTGAAACAGATTTTTTGAAAGCTAAACGATAGGAGAAGATTCCTGGCTTAGATGAATATCTGAAGAGATCAAGTTCAATGTTATAATAGCATCACAAAATAATACTAGGAGATAATGTGAAAACTACAAATGTGTTCAGTATACCTTCTCTCCACTGTCATTACCAACCACCCTGATCTCTAGTCCAACACTAGCAGCCTCTGGAGCAAGAGGAATCTCCTCGTAGCTGAGAAATTGTATGGCACCAGGGTCATAACGAAAGAAGCCAAAATCATGAACCTAGAAGAAAAAGCATGTATGTTAGCTCACTCCCAAGGTTTTAAAAAGCGGCTTTAAAAAGCGGCTGTAACCGTTACATAACGCCATTACATAACGGTTGTGGTGGTTACCACCGCCCCTTACGGGCACTATAGCGGTATGACAGAAATTCACATATATAACAGCTGTTTCGGTGTTACGCAACGGCCGTAACAATACCGTAACAGATGTAACCAAAGTTTTAAAAAACAGCCACAACCATTACGTAATGTTATTACATAACGGTTGTGGTGGTTATCGCTACCCATTACGGCCGCTATAGCGGTGTGACGGAAATTCACGTGTAACGGCCGTTTCGGTGTTACGTAATGACTGTAGCAGTACTGTAACAGTTGTAACGGTCCGTTACACACTTTTATAATATTCTGAATAACTTCTTTTTCCAAAAAAAATAAATAAATAAAAGCTTACAAAAAAAAGAACAAATACTCAAGCAATCAAAGCCCAAAGAAAAAATCTTATATGTATTTATTTTCTTTATAATTTGTTTCTGTTTCGCAAGGTTGTTAAGATCGGGATCCTACATAGGATCGTTTTGGGGGTCTGTCGGATCAGATCGTAGGATCGGATCGAGGATCGTAAGATCCTACCAAATGATAAAAAAAGGCAATACTTTTTATATGGCTAAGTAATACTATCAAAATGTATATAGAATGACCCCCCAAAAAAAGAAATATTGCAATTCAAGTAGCATTCAAGCATTTTTTCTCAATAAAAGAAGTCAAAAACAATATAAAAGAAATTTTTTCTCCAGCAACATTTTTCCTTTGCCTCCCTTTTCCTAAACCAGAGGTTGACATTGTGTTGTGATGCTACTGTGCTAATTGTGTGCTGCAAATTGTGAAAATTAAAAGAAATTTTTACAGCAATGTTCAGGGAAAAAGAACCAAAGAAGAACCGCAGCAACAACAAAAAAGAACCAAAAAAATGAAGAAGAAAAAAAGAAGTAAGAAAAATGAAGAAACAGAAAAAAAATAAAAATAAAAATAAAAATAAGACTCCGTTTAATTTAGTTTTAAAATCATGATTTGAGTGCAGAGTTGTGATTTAAGTGTGGAGTTGTAAGTTGAGTTTTGAAAAAAAAAATTTGTTTGGTTATGAATATTGAAATTTTTTGAAATTATTTTTTTTAATATTTAAAAATATATATATAATTTTTTGAAATTTTCAAAATTTTTTAATTTTTAATGAAGAAGATGCATACCAGGTTACACAAAATCTAAAGCTTTGATGTCCAATTTCTCTTTCCTCTATTTCTTGCCCTAATCGCAGCACAGAGGATCAATTTTTTTTTCTTCTTTTATCCCGACAAAGGCTTGTTTGACTTGAAGTTACGAAAAAAAACCCTATTAATCAGGATCGCATGGAATCGCGATCCTATCGATCCTAACGATCCTTCGACGATCCTGCCACGATCCTGTCATCGGCACGATCCAGAATACGAGTCGGATCGAATGGTATATATTGGATCGCAGGATCGTACGATCCTACGATCCGGATCGCGATCTTAACAACCTTGCTATTTCGGTGTCACGTAACAGTCGTAGCAGTATCGTAACGGCTGTAACCAAAGTTTTAAAAAGCGGTCGCAACCATTACGTAACGTTGTTACATAATGGTGTGGTGGTTACCGCTACCTGTTACGGCCGCTATAGCGGTGTGACAGAAATTTATATGTGTAACGGTCGTTTTGGTATTACGTAATGGCCGTAGCAATACTATAACAGCTGTAACGGTCCGTTACACACTTTTATAATATTTTGAATAACTTCCTTTCCTAAAAAAAATAAATAAATAAAAGCTTTAAAAAAGAACAAATACTCAAGCGATCAAAGCCCAAAGAATCTTATATAAATTTATTTTCTTTATAATTTGTTTTTAATTTTTATTTCATTACATTAGCATGTAAAATAAAAAATATATAAACAGTACTTGTATTTATTTTTATAATCATTTTATTTAATATTTAATTATAAATATTTTTTATTTTGTTACTGTAATGTGTTGTCTAAAAAATGTCTTTAAAAAACTCAAAAAATATTTTTTGTTTAAAGCACAATTTTCATTTTTATAATTATTTCATTTCATGCTTAATTATAAATAATTTTATTTAGTTACCTGCAAGGTTTTAAAAAGCTGCCACAACCGTTACATAACGTCATTACGTAACGGTTGTGGTGGTTACCGCCACCCATTACGGCCACTATAGTGGTGTGATGAAAATTCACGTGCAACAGCCGTTTCAGTGTTACGTAACGACCGTAACAATACTGTAACAACTGTAACCAAAGTTTTAAAAAGCACCCGCAATCGTTATATAACACTGTTACATAACGGTTGTGGTGGTTACCGCCACCCGTTATGGCTATTATAGCGGTGTGACGGAAATTCACATGTGTAATAGTCGTTTCGCTATTACGTAACGGCCGTAGCGGGTACCATAACAGCTGTAACGGTCCGTTATACATCGTTACACACTTTTATAATATTCTGAATAATTTCCTTTCCCAAAAAGAATAATTAAATAAAAGTTTACAAAAAAAAAAACAAATACTTAAGAGATCCAAACCCAAAGAAAAAATCTTATATGAATTTATTTTCTTTATAATTTTTTTTAAAATTTTTATTTCATTACATTAACATGTAAAATAAAAAATATATAAACAGTACTTGTATTTATTTTTATAATCATTTTATTTAATATTTAATTATATATATTTGTTATTTTGTTACTGCAATGTGTTGTTTAAAAAATGTCTTTAAAAACTCAAAAATATTTTTTTGTTTATGGCACAATTTTTAATTTTATAATCATTGCATTTAATACTTAATTGTAAATAATTTTATTTAGTTACCTGTAAAGTGTCGTCTAAAAAAATGCCTCAAAAATAATTTTTGTTTATGGCACAATTTTTATTTTTATTATCATTTCATTTAATAATTGTGAATATTTTTTTATTTAATTAGTTTAGGTATTGGTCAAAAATAATTTGTAGACATTTAAAATCAATTATTCTTAAAGTTATTAACTATTAAAATAAAATGTAAAAAGCTCTTTTTATAGTGATTTGAAAATATGAAATGTATTGGATCATATTTAAAAATTAACAACAATTGATCAAAATCTATTTTAAACCCTAATAAATGTAATTCTAGAAGGAAAAAAAAAATATGCGTATTGGTAAGTTTTCTTCAAATTATGCAAAAAATTAAAAAAAAATTACGGTTCCGGTTACCACAACTGTTACGGTACAACTTTTATACTTTGCAACCACAACCGTTATAGCGATCACAACCACTTTTCGAAAGCTTGCTCACTCCCATATACAGCTGTTTCCCAAATAACATTAAAAATGCATGCTGCATCGTATCAATGCAAACCCCACACAGACTACAGCTGCAAGCCACTACATAACCAACTTCTCCTCACAAAGCAATAATGTTTGAAACTTACACAACTCCTCAGCGAAATGAAGGGAGAATACATGCACACGGCACACACATGTGCTCACACACACATATACACATACAGAGCACAGCACAGAAACAGAAACAGAACAAACAGAATGCAATGGTGGAAAACTAAGAGGACAACAAAATATTTAAAAAGGATAAACCAGTGTTCCTTTTTCAACAGCCTCTCCCCAATGCACAGTAATTAGATGGGGTTTTAATGCTAGTTCATAAAACAACACATGCAGCATTAGAAAAAAGAGGCAATTCAATGGCATCAACCAAAATAACAAAAACCACCACACAGAGGAAAACAAGAGCACCAGCCCCTCATTAACTAAGAAAGCGTCAAAGAGCATGAACCTTAACATGAGAATAAGAAATAAGAAATTAAGACATAAATTGAAACTTTTAGAATACATCTTGAAAATTTCCTAGCTCAGACAATTAAAAAAGCTTCTAGAAATTTTATTATGAAAATATATATATATATATGCATAGGTCATGCTTTTGGTAAAATATGAAAAATTAGACTGCTAATATCTAGGACACTCTTCTTATCAGTGAAGGTTGTTCAGAAACCAGACAACACACAAGTGTTTACTTATCCAGTCACCTAAAACAGAGTTCACCTTTATTTATTTAAAAGATTTTCAAAAGCATGTGGGTTTACAACTTCCAATTTTTTTCACTAAAAACATAATGTGAAACGATCTAATTTTTCATTGCACTTTTTTTCTATAGACACTTGAATGTAAAGTAATATTTACCAATACTTTATGATAGAAAAATTTTAAATTTAGTGGATAACAAATACAAGCATATGTGGTGATCAGAGTATTGGGTACTGTAGTGTTGTTCGACAGTAAAGCAATCTAAGAGGAACAGCAAATCCAGAGTTTTAACCTTGAGAAATAAACAATTTACCAAACAAACAGCTAAAACTAGATTAATGGAATCAAATTTAATCACAAAATTAGTTTCCCATTTGCTAAGCAGCTTTTAATTTCTTTTATTTATTTATTTATTTATTTATTAAAGTTTGGTTTCAAAACAAAAGGAGAACAATGCTACTAAAAAACATGGATGCAGCATTCTATTTTATAAAGTAAGATTTTGATTATTCTCATTAAACCAAAGTTATAGTCTTTGATTTGCGCAAAATGGGTTGGTGCCCTAATTACAACTCTAAAAATAGGTTTCAAAATTTTGTAGCATCGAGTGATAGTTTGAGGTTTAATCATCTGGATTAATTAATCAAAATTCAAAGTGAGTAGTTAAAGCCACCAAAGCATGCATCAAGTATATGATTTCAGTATTAGAACAGTTTAAATAAGGTTAAAAGGCCGTCACGTGGTTTTTGAGTGATTGTGAAAAAACAATGAAGCAGTAATGCTTCAAACTTACTTCGAAACCTGTTGGAAACAACACTCCAAGAGCCCAATTAGCACAGCTGATTTCAAGAAGAAGCCCTTCAGAGGTGAAGCACATTCCTTTCTACCTCTGCTACTTTGTTATTAAATCTCCCACAACAATTTTCTACCCTAGCTTTTTTAAAAACCTGCAGAGTATTGGTGCTTAAAACCTCATGAAAAGCACCTCCTGAAAATCACCTCCTTCATGCACCACCTAAAGACATCATCTAGATACTCAAAGACTGTCTATAAGTAACCCTTGTATGAAGGATAACTTTTTCTTCTCCCATAATCTAAACAAGGTAGACAACTGACTTCCAAAGTGATGTTTTGAGACTTGGCAACAAAAACCTTTCATACATAGAGATAATTTAGTATCTAGCTGGGTTCCAGAACCTCTGAGCATTGAATAACAAACGTCGAGGCCCGACACCAAATCTCAATTGATAAAAGTACACCATGCCATGTGGACGGTACTATGGCTTCTAAGCAAATAGGAAAAGTTCACAAATGTCACTACTTGCAACATCTTGCTAAAAGAGACAAACTATTGACTGAAACTAACACCGGATTTACCAACCAAACCTACAGAAAAGGGACTCTAAATTGATATGAGAGCGGTGACATTCAAGTGTTTTATGTATGACATTCCATATTTTATTTTTCATATGTATGAAGTTCCAGATATCTTTCATAGCTTCTTATATTAATTAATTAATTACGTAAATTACAATTGTGAGTTCGGATTAAAACCAAAATAAGAAACCAAAAACAATATAAACATAAAAAAGAAAGCCCAAATATAAACCACCTACCGGGTCACGGTATATAGGATACACAGGAATTTCTTCGCGGTTTAGGAACATGGCTTCTGCAACTACAGGTCCTATTAGGCACAACATCAGATTGATTAGAACTAAACAAGGAAAACAAAACAGGAGAAACTATGTTTTACCTTTTAATCTATAAATAACTAGCATTGATTTAAGAGGTCAATTTGTGTTCTCAACATTCAAAATTAAGTCATAAATAAGAAACAGAAGTACCGGGCTTGACGACGTGGCGATTGGTGAGAATAATCCCGCGCTGCTTATCAACGACAAAGCCCGTGGCGTGGCTGGCACCGGCAGATTCGGTGTCGAAAGCCCGACAAGCGGTGGTCCGAAGCACGACCACCGCCGGAACCACCTTATCAAGCGCCTTCCGCCAGTCATCGGTGGTGGCAAGATTATCTCTGATCGGCGGATCAACCTCCACCATGCACAGCCCCTCCTTCATACTCGACTCCTCCGATCCCAACCTCTCCAGATGATCAGCCATACCTTAGTACCCCTCTCTCTGTAAATCACAGACCGAAACCCTAACTGAGAAAAAAATCGAGAATTGGAGTGGAATAGTGAGGGAGTGGTTTTGGGTTTTAGAAGACAGGAGGGATGAATGAGAATTACATGTAGAGAGGGAGAGACAAATTTGACGGAGTTGAGATGCAGTGTGAGTTGGGTTGGGTGCTGACAAGACCACTCACACTCGTAGAAAAATGTTTTAGAGCTCTAAAAAAAGAGCTCTAAAATAGCATTAATTTGTTTTCTTCTTCTTTTTATTTTGTCTTCTTCCTTTTTTTTTTCCTTTTTGTTTTTTTTTTTTTTGATTGGGTATGCCAGCTCAGTAGAGCTGCTGTTAAAGCAGTTTTACTAGAGCTCTCTAGCAAGGCCGCACACTCATATTGGCCACTTTTTATGACGTGTTATATTTTATATATTTTCGGAAGCACCAAGGATCCTCTAGAGTGAAATTTCCCTAAAGTTTCCTAGAGTGATATATTGTGTGGTTGAGATTTACTGGCAAGTCACATCAGAAAAATTGATGTGACTTGCCAGTAAATCTCAACCACACAATGTAGCACTTTAGGAAACTTTAGGAAAAAATCACTCTAGAGGATCCTTGCTCTTTCGGAAGGACAAAATTCACAATTTGTCTTAGGTGGTTGGTTGGAGTGTACAAAAGAATATAATGATTTGTGATATTATTACAGAACACCAATATGATGATTTGTGATATTATTACATAACACTAATTAATAATTATTTTAATAATAAAAGTTTATGATTAATCTAAGTATGATACGTGGTGCCTTAAAATTAACTAATTATTTTTCACTTTTTATACAGGAAGCGTCCCTGAACAGTGGGGACACAGATACTTTTGTGGATTCTAATCTTTTCATATAATTTTTAAATTTTTTATAAAAAGGTATTTAAAAAAATATAAAAATAATGCATCTTACAAAAATTAAAAGGGCAATAAATATATTATTTTAATATGTTCTATAATTTATTTTTTAATTCTTTTATAATAAAAAAAGTGTAAAAAAATAAAAAAAAATGATATGTCATTCGCTTGATGTAACGATTTTAATTTGGAAAAATTATTTATAAGTCATATTTGAAAGACTTATTTAATGTGAAGTCTTATGAATATTCTTTTAGAGTTTGAAATCCTATTTAAATAGGAATGTGTTCTGTAAGGGGGAAATTCTATTTCTACATACCAAATTATTTCTATGTACATTTTTTCTCAATCCACACATTTAGGTGCTGTTTGGTAACACTTACGTTTTCAGTTTTCTGTTTATATTTACAAAATTTTAAAAAACTCAAATAAAAACTTGTTTGGTAAAATTTTTGATTTATAAATCAGTGGTCTCAGTTTATAAATTTGGCCAAAAAATGAAAACACAAAAAATGTGTTTCTATTTTGAGTTTTAAGTTTTTTTTTTTTTTTACCACCCAACCCTAGCCCCCCCCCGCCACCATTTTTCACCACCGTCTTTCGCCCCCACCACCCACCACCCCCACCACCCAGCCACCACCATTCACCACCCACCTGCCATCCACCCGCCACTACCTATCCACCGCCGCGCACCACCACCCGCACCACCATACTTGCCAACCACCACTTACCACCCATCCTTTGCCACCACTAGCCACTCACCACCCCACCCACCTGCCACTGTCACCGCCAGCCTACCCACCGCCACCACTTGCTACCACCCTTACCACCCGCTATTTCACCCACTCTAACCCACCACCACGTCATAGACCACCTCGCCACCATCCACTACCAACCCGCCATCCGCCACCCGCCACCACCACCCACTCGCTACAACGCCACTGTCCCCACTTCACCCACCACTAGCCACCACCCGCCACCATTTTCCACCCCCTTCTTCCGCCACTACCACCCATCCCCCCATCACCTGCCACCACCACTCGCCACCAACCACCACCGGCCACCTGCCCGCCACCACCACCTACCTGCCACCACCCGCCATCCGCCACCCACCTGCCACCACCCACCGCCGCCACCACCACCACCACCCACTCGCTACCACCCACCACACACCACCGTCACCCATCCACCCACCCACCACCACCACCCATCACCACCAGCTACCCACCACCCACCGTCACCACTTTTCACCACCGTCTTTCGCCGTCACTTGTCATTTCTCACTATTTTTTATATTTTTAAAGTTTTTTAAACATTTTTTCAATTACCAAACGTGTTTGTAGTTTATGTTTTTCTAAAAATAAACAAAAAATAAATAAAAACCAATTTATAAAATTTTTGTAAATATAAACTGAAAACGTAAACGTTACCAAACACACCAGTAATTTGATTTTCACTTCTTTATCTCAGTTCATACACATCACATTTCAAATATATCCTCACTTTCTCTGTGCATATCCTCTCCTTCCATCCTTTTTCACTCTAAAAACCTTAACCCCAACTGCACCAACTACCGACGATGGTGGCAGCGACGACATCAACCACCGCCCCTTCCCAGCCTCTCAGCCATTCTCACACAACCCCCCATGCTACCGTCACCTCCATCGCAATCTTCTTTTCAAAAAATCCCAACTCTCTCTCTCTCTCTCACACACACACACACACAAGATTCAAGTGTGATTAAGCTGATCGATTATTCAATTTTTTCTCATATATATATATATAGATTTGGGTTTGGATACAGTGTCTTAGGGTTTGAGAGTTAAAGTAAAGAAGACAAACAACAACCATGTCGTTTAGGCCAAGTGCAAGAACCAAGGTTCGTCGAAACCGTTACAAGGTCGTCGTTGATGCCGAGGAGGGTTGGAGACTGAAGAAGGACAACATGGTTGAGATGCGCAAAAGTAAGCACAAAAGAGAGTTTACACAAGAAGCATCGGTTGTTCTGGTTGAAATTTTAGGGGTTGACAGTCGGGATTTGGAGATAGATAGTGAAATTTTTTGGTTCTTTTGATTTGGGTCTTGGTAATTTTGGTTGGATCGGTTGTTCAGATTAGGGTTTTTAATTGTGATGCTTTGTTTGAGGTTTTGAGGTCTGTTGATTTGATTGCAGTTACAGAGTCTTCATTCCTTGGTTATTGGTGTTTGGTCAAATGATAACAATCTGCAACTGGAGGCTATTACATAATTCCGTAAATTGGTGTTTGGTCATATGGGGCTATATTTCTTCTGTTTAACTTTTGGAAGATTAATTGTTCAAATTTCATTTTTAGAACGAAGTCCGTCGATTGAAGAAGTTATACAATCTAGTGTTGTTCCCCGCTTTGTATGGTTGAGGTTTGGGCATGGAAAGCGATGGCCCGCGATGAAGTGGCTAGTGAGATGGTGGTGGGTGAGATGTGTATGGAGAAATTGTGAGATGTGTAGGTGAGATGGTGGTGGGTGACATGGTAATTTTTTTAAAGGATGAAATTGTGATTATGAAAAAATTCATTAAGTGTGCAGAGTAAGGAAACTTGGTGTGTGAAAATAAAATTTCCTTCCATGAGATCCTATGAGTTGTAAATTAATGATATTAGTGTACTATTATGCCCCTAATTTGTTTTCATATTGTACCTTATTTTCTCATTCATCGTATCACGTTTGGGAAGGCTTTTAGAACATATAATTTTACAAACAACGACTGTGCGAGTTTTTTTCTCCTTGATTGTGGGATTTCAATACATTTTCAAAATGTTGCTTAAATAGATATGGATATGGTCAATGATATGATGAAGTTTGAGGGTTGTGTGTTGATTTCTTTAATAGATTTTGACTCCAATCTGTTGAGGGGAATATGTATGTTTTTTTTTTTGTTGAAGTGTGTCACTGTTTGTTGAAGTGTGGTTTTTTTCTCCTTGATTGTGGGATTTCAATACATTTTCAAAATGTTGCTTAAATAGATATGGATATGGTCAATGATATGATGAAGTTTGAGGGTTGTGTGTTGATTTCTTTAATAGATTTTGACTCCAATCTGTTGAGGGGAATATGTATGTTTTTTTTTTGTTGAAGTGTGTTACTGTTTGTTGAAGTGTGGATTGTTTATTTTTAATAGGGCATTGATAATCTATTATAGTAATTGATAGGCACACTTTGGCCAATGTTCTGATTAAATGTGTGTATTTGATATTGTGATGGTTGATGCGTTTTGATATGTTCGATGTGTAGGGTGGTGTGTATGGGTTTAAGGGTTGGGTTGGGGGTATATCATTTTGGTTGTTAATTGGATGTCAAATGTGAATCGCGTCGTAGGATGACAATTGTACATTGGGACCTAGATGATTGTATTAAAAATGCATGTTACATAGTGTGTAATGTTAATACACATATACCATATAGTAGATGACATTTGTGTGTTTGTTCAGTTGTATATGTGTTTGAATGTATATCGTGTCTTTGTTGTAATTAGTATTTACATACATGTCACAGTACGTTACGCAAAATTATTGGAGATTTGGGTTTGTAATTGAATGTGGATTGAATCCTATTGCTCGATATTAAAGTTATGCTGGGTTGGGGGTGATGGTGGTTCAACACCTGGGTTGGGTTAGGATGTTACATGTTACATTTATGAGGTTACATTATTCATAATTCGATGGTAGAGTATTGGAATGCCACGTTGGGTTTGGGATAAGAAGTATATGAAAATGTCACGATGAGTTTGGGATGTTACATGTTACATTTACGTTGGGTTTGGGATGAGAAGCATATGAGAATGTCATGTTGGGTTTGGGAATGCTATATTGGATTTGGAATGTTACATGTTACATTTATGTTTTGAATTTCAAATTTCCAACTATATAGATATGATCACAATCTATGATAATTTTGGATTTTCTATATATAGTATTGTCATTAATTAAGTTATTTTGAATTTCAGACGTATATGGGAATGTCACACTGGGTTTGGGAATGTCACATTGGGTTTGGGATATTACATATTACGTTTACGTTTTGAATTTCAAATTTCCAATCATATAGATATGATCACAGTCTATAATAACATTGGATTCCCATATATGGTATTGTCATTAATTAGGATATTTTGAATTTCAAATTTCTAACCATATAGATATGATCACAATCTATAGTAACATTAGATTTCTCATATATAGTATTATCATTAACTAGATTCTTAATTAATTAAGATTAGGAGTAGATGTGTCTACAAAAAAATCACAGGACTTATTAGGTAATAAGTTTTTTCATGGAACCATATATTGTATAAGTCTTCCAAATAAGATTTATAAATAATTTACCCATGAAATTACCTCTTTAATTTTTATATCAATATTCTATCTAATGAATTCTATAAAATAAACCCAAAATGTTCACTCAAATTGCCATCGAAACCCTAATTTGTTTATTATTTTATGTATCAATTTTGTATTATTTAATTGATCTTACTATTCATATTATTAATGTAATGTTGCCACATAAGATGATAATAGGGTAAATTATAAATACATTCCCTGAAATTTGCTTAAAATACAAATTGCCCCATATGGTTTGGAAAATTATAAATACTTCCCTATCAGAATTTTTTATTTAACAGAATTAATTGAAAAAATTAAATTTCTAACTATTCACCTATACAATAATAAAATTATCTGAATTATTAATTGAAATAAAATTTTAACATTATTAAAAACTGTTAATTAACTTGATGATTTATTAATAAAAGAACCTATTTGTTATGAAATTACAAACCTTAGGGGGCATAATGTAATTTCTAAAATCACAGAAGTAATTTATAATTTAAGTAAACCTTAAGGGATATGTTTGTAATTTACCCATGATAATATATATATATATATAATATAATTATCGTAGCGTTATTGTTTACACGATAAACTTATTTTTTCATTATAAACACATTTTGTAAAAATGTTTGAATCAAATTTGTATTACAAAAAATTAATGGTTATTTTTGAAATTATATTTGTCCTCTATTTTTTAAAACAAATATAATTCAAACATTACCAATGTTCAATCATCTTGATTTTTTTACATGAGTATTCTATTTAATTAATCCAAAAAAGTGAATAGTTCAGATCATCCGAATCTGTTATAAAATGAGCCTACCAAATCCAAACGCTCTCTCAAATTTAAATGACAACATCAGATGAACTAGGTCCTAAAATAAAATATCATAAACAACTCAACCAACACATTTGATGGTAAGCCTAGTTTGTGAGATTCAGAGTCATAAAACATTATTGCAACAAAAGATTATGTACTATAAGCAAGTTTTGATATTTGTGGGGTTGATTAGTATAAATGTCATAATTAAATTTTTTTAAACTGTGTTTGGTTCATGAATTTTTTGAGTGATTTGAAAAAGGAAAGGAAAAAGGTTTGTAAACTATAGGTGAAATGTAATTAGATTCATTCACATTTCCCCTCCAAATCTATGAACCAAATACAACCTTAAGGTCATAAATAAAAAATAAAAATGAGTCATAATCAAACATCATATATAAGGTATAACTGAAATAATTATCATAACCAACATTATAATGAGTGATAATAAACACTACAATATATATATATATATATATATATATATATGTATAACACCAAGTCATGACAGACATTATAATAAATCATAACAAAATATCATAAAGTGGTAATTATGGTACACATAGAATTTCCAATGAAACATTGATTACCAAAGATTAGGTTTATGCAATCGCAATATAACAATATACATATTTAGAATTTTTCGTTCTTTTAAATTTACTCATAAAAATCAATGAGTAATTTAAATACATTCAAGATGTGGACCTTACAATACAAGTCAAGTCTAAATCACATTTTATTTTTCTAAATACAAAGCCTGTATCATAATAAAACCGGAAAAAAAAAAAAAAACAAAACAAAACAACACTATAAGGATTATTTTTGTAATTAGAATAAAAGTTAGTTTTTTGGTTTTTTTTTTTTTTTTTTTTTTTTTTGACTTTTTTTTGAGTCACATCATTTTTCTATTTTTATGTATATTTTTTTTAAAAAAATTAAAAATTAACTTTTGACCTACTTTCCATTTATTTCGATGAATCAAAAAAAGAAAAAAAGGAGGAAGATGTAATGAATCAGAATCATCAGCCGGAGCTTTGACCCCCTTTCTTTTTTCATAGATATTTTGTTATTAAAAAATGCTTGGTAGCTTGAATTTGTGTGATACAAATGACTTGAATGTATCAAAACGACGTCATTTTGAGATATTCGAGCCATTCAGGCTACCAAGCATTGTTTTTTGTTATCAGGCGAAGAAATTACAAGGAGAACTAAAGTTGTGTTTGGCAACTGAATTTCTAGTATTTAATAATTCTATACAAAAAAAATGTGTAAAAAAAAAAAAATTATTTTACATTTTGTAATACTTTCTCAAATTTTTTTATTTTTTTGATTTGTTCCCAAACACCACCTAACAAAATTAACAAAGTATTTGCATTTGCACCTTTCAGGCATTCTTGTTCCCACTGAAAAAATCTTGATGTTAACCATAAAGAGCTTTGTTGATTAAATGCGGATGTGTCAGAACTTGTGTACCTAGTTTAAGATGAAGGAATTGTTGATCATTTTTTACTTTTAGCACAGAGAAATGATTGTGTGTGGTTAAGAGGAACCGTCACTAGTTCGGATCTTACCCCAATAAAGAGGACTTTTAACAAATTTATAGGTGTCAAATGATAATTAGACAAAAATTGTAACTTGCATTGATTGGAAATGAAGTATAATTGATAATCTAAGAGAACTAAGCTAAGAAGTTAGACTAAGTTGCAGTTATGAAGCTATGATAAGTAAGCTATGAAAATTAAGCTATGAAGCTAAAATAGATAAGCTTTCAAGCTAAGATAAATTGGAAGACATGTATTAAAAGACCCTTAGTTGAGTGTTTGGTTGAGGACCTCTTCAATATTGCACTTGGAGTCCTTTATATAGTCTTGGAGAAGTCTCTAATTCTGCTCAACTGCTAGAAACGTGTCAGCTCTTCGTGGTGACATGTGTCCTTGATTCTAAGCTTGATCTCCCAAGAATAGGTATGGTTTTGATCTTCAAAAGCTAATAATGCTTATCCTTGTAGTTTTGACCTGGTCCATCAAGCTCTAGAAAGCCGCCACATATCCTTTTTTATTTGAATTTGATTTTATTCGGCTTGATTTGAGGGAAAAAGCTCATTTGGATTAATTCTCAATCCTCTTCATTTTCCATGTGTGCTTATCTGTACAAATTCTCAATCTTGCTTGATTTGGGGAATTTGGTCCCTATTTTGTAGCCTTATTGTTGATTTTACCAAATCTTCATCCCCGTGTAATCTTTATTCATAGCAGCCATTTAGCAACAAATTAAGAGATAAGACACCAAAATAAAAAATAAGCCTCAATAACCTTCTATTTATTAAGAAGGATTAAGGCTTGCCTTATCAAATCAAATCAAACTAAATTAGTAATTAATTAATTAACCTAATGACTTGGCTAATTTAGTTACTTAAAATAAATCAATTTCAGCCGCCACTCCATTAACCTTGGTGGGGGGGTTCCATAAAATCTTTGACTCCCTATCTTTCATTGCCATGTGGTACAAATAATTGAGAAAATTGCCATGCCACAATTTTTGCCAAAAATGATACAAACACTAATGGAAAGTGCTTGGGTATGCAACCCTTTAATATACAATAGACATGCAAATTTACATAAATTCTTATAAAAATACATACTTATCTTGTAAAACTGGCGTAATTTAAATACAAATCCGCATACGTTGATCTATAAAAATTTAAGAAATCACAACTTAGCCTACAAATTAATTAATAAAAATTTGAAAAATCACAATTTAGTATAAGTTTTTACAAACATACGTAAGTCACCTTACAAAATCGTGTAACTTATTTGCGTAAGTTAACTCATAAAAATGTGTCGTAAGTTATCACAAAAATGTATAACTTAAGTCACAAAAATACATAAGTAAATGACATACCATATGCTTTGACCACTCGAGAATTATCCCTAACTTTTTGATAAGCTCCTGAGGAAAGATGAGCTCTTTGTGAGTTCGCGAAGGGGTCTATCAGTAAATCTGATCAAGTTATACGTAAACCCACCAGCTATGGTTCCGCATAGTGGGCCAATTATATAGACCCACAGTCCCTTGTAAACATGTTTAACAATGGCTGGTCCAATACTTCTGGCTGGGTTCATTGATGCTCCTGAAATTGGTCTGCAATTCAAAATCATCAATGGTTTCACATTTATTAGGTACCACATGAATAGCAATACATACTAGACTACTTTTGACACTTTCACTCTGTTTGTTTCGTAATTTTTTTTTTTTTAACATATGGTACAACAAAATAATTTATGTGATCAATAGAGAGAAATTTATTTTGACAAAATATTTTTCACTATTAAAAGGTGAAAAATATTTTTTAAATTAAACTCTCTCCAATGCCTCTACTGCCACCCTACCACCACCACTGCCACATCCACCTCCTCCTCCATCTCCACCTCTTCCATCAGTAATACAATCATTAGTACATTAATTTGAATAATGCAACAAATCAAAAGAAGATAATTTTTATATAAAAAAAATTATTACGGAAACAAACAGAGTGTTCATTGAGGTTGGGGTGATTAACCAATAGTCTTTTCTTTTCTTTTTTGGGAAAAGAAAATATGTAACATAAGTAATGGATAAATTACATTCATAGTCATTCTCTTGTATCAATTTAATTCATATATATTTCTAATTTTGTCAGTTTTACAATTGAATTTGTCATTTTGTATTATCTTAGTTCAATTGATAAATGTCCTTTAAAAAAATTAACTAAAATTAAAAAGCAAAATAGTCTGTTTATCAATTTAACTAAATTAACACAATGTCAAAATTAAAACAAAATTAACATAAAGAATAAAGTACATAGACAATAGATTTAATTTGTCCTAAAATAATCATAATTTCTAGCGTATGTATGCAACACCAAGTTTTGTTTGTTAGTTTTTTTATAATTTGAAAAAAAAATATATAAATCCACCAAATGATTCTGGGCGGTGAAAATGTACCCGGCAACGAAGACGTTTAACGTTATTGTCATTCCAACAGCTTTTTTTTTTTTTTTTTTTCATTTTAAATAAATCTTTCAAAAGTATATCCCAGGTCTCTACTAAATATTTTATAATTGGAAAAAAAAAATATAAATCCACCAAATGATTCTGGGCGGTGAAAATGTACCCGGCAACGAAGACGTTTAACGTTATTGTCATTCCAACAGCAATCCCTGCCAGCTCTCCTACCTGCATAATTAAAAATTATAATTGAAATTAAAAAAAATGGTTAAACGATCATTACCTCACCAATGGTAAAAATTATAGTTGAAATTAAAAAAATGATTAAACAATCATTACCTCACCAATGGCAAAATACCCCCCGGGCAAAAAAAATTAAAAAGTTGACACATATTTTGCCACATCATTGTAGATAAAATTATGAATAATTTTTGAATATTTCAAGCATTTTCCTTTATTTTATGCATCAACTTAAAAAGTGAATGCAGAAAAAAATATAAAAACAATAGATATAGGTATAGATATAGATACCGATCGATTATCAGTAGCAACACCGGAGATGACGAACATGAGAAGGAAAGAGATGATGAATTCCAGGACAAAAGATTGGAGATTAGATCCAGCTGGTACAGTTCCAAAGTAAGCTTCACTTGTTACTTCAAATATTAGAGACAGTGTGCAACTCCCTAATACCGAACCTATTAATTGTGCTGCTATGTATAATGGCACCTACAAAAATCAATTTATATCAAACCATTTCATTTCATTCCCAACTCAAATATGATCGGCTAATTCATCCTTCTCTCTCTCTACATAGAGGGATAATATATAAATAAAAAATTTACACTTAATTTTCATATATGTGACTTAATAATAATCCTTCACTTTGAAACAAAACATTTATAAAGAGGACTCAAACTTTTTAACAATGTCACTGCGACATCATTCTTGTAATGTCAAAGAGGAATTGGTTTCCTATTTGCAATCCATCAACACTTGCACCCTTCAATTCTTTATTTTCCTACCTCTTACATTTTATTAATTCATTAATTCAAGTCAGCAAAAATGATATTATAAACCAATCAAATTTAACCAAATAGTGAAAAGATGTGCACGGAAGGAACAATTGATTTCGATTTGAATTTCAATTGCTGATCAATTGCATTTTGATATGCTTAAATAATAATATAAATACATATATCAATTATAAGAAAACCCACCTCCCACCATGGAAACCGGCGAAAGATGGCGAAAGTGATGGTGACCGCCGGATTGAAATGAGCCCCAGATATGTGACCTACGGAGTAAACCATTACCATCACTATTAGTCCCCATGTTACACATATCCCTGGAAATGTAACTGTGCCGTCGTATAACTTGTTGACAACAACCGATCCACAGCCGATGAAGATCACAAAATACGTACCGATCACCTCTGCAATCACCTTTAAAAAAAAAAAAATGAAAGACAAAGAAACCCTAATTGCAGAATATCCATGCAAATGCATAGTACATTTTTTTAGTGATTTGGTGAGGGAAAAAAAAAATATAAATATTCAAAAACTGTACTAGGAAAATGGTTCAGAATGCAGATGAAGGGTTGAGATTCAAATGGTGTATTGCGAGATCTATGTATAAATTGAATGTAAATTATATATTAATATTTCTGAATCAAATTGTAAGTAAAGATTCGAGTATGTAGTATTATTGTTTTGTGACTGACCTTCTGAAACGTGACGACTACTGTGGTTGATGTCCAAAAGCTGTCATCTTTCTTGGAATCTGAGTTGGTGGAAGTGATTGCACCTTTTTCAATCCTTGAGATATCGTTGTCGATCTTTGTTGCCATTGATGATACTGGGAAAGAAGACGGTGGCAATTAACAATGGCGATTTGAAAGATGTTCAACACTCAAAAGAGATCTGCAATGGGAAGGTCATTTTGTTTGGCTAGTGATAAGGCAGTTTGTTATCGAGAGAATAAGTCAAATATTTTTATCTAAATTTTTTAGATCCGCAATACATTGTTTCCTTGTTAGTGATTTTGACTAATGAGTTTTCTTTTTCGGGACAATCCAAAAGATTTCGTACAGTTCGTCCATTTAGAAGAAGTATTAGATCCTGAAAAATGTCAAATAAATAATTAGATGTCTCACATTTAGTAGAAAAATTGAAATTCCTAACATTACTTTTAGATGCGAGTAGGGTTGATAATGCTATCCGTACCGGGTGGATGGGTCGGGCTGGTCCAGGCTCTTCAAATTCCGGTTTAGGGTGATGATTTCGTCAAATGACCTGCATGCAAGTCCAAAGGGGAACGGGGCAGTCCCCCAGTGAACCCTCCGGCGTGAGAATTAGTAGAGGAAGAAGGAAATGTGGAGAGGGAGAGATGGAGAGATAAAAAGCTTAACCTTCCTCTTGCCTTGCTATTCTTGCTTATATCTTTTGGTAATTATTTCATTGTCCCTTGTGACGTGCCCCCTTCCGCCGAAAGCCTGTGCCATAACTTACCTTGTTCAGGGTGAGGGGGCTCTGTTCCGACGGGGAGGTGTTGTCGTAATAAATGCTGTCATGGGATGCATTAATGGTGATGTGTTGTGGTAATAACTCTGCAGATCTTTGTTTGCTGATGTGGCCCGTGTTCCACTTGCCATGTGCCCGAATGCCATTGGCCCCCCATGCCTAGATGGCCTCCAGCTGTCCTGGGCTTTGCCAACCGGGTTATGCTATTGGTCCTAAGCGATGGGTTCGGGGTGGTTTGCTGTGGGCCGTATGCCTCGTGGGCCTATCCATGTCAGTAGTCCCCTATTTTCGAGTGCAGCTTTAGTCCAACGAAGGGAATAGCAATAAGGAAGGGAAGTTCGAAACGAGTGGAGAGGTCTATTGGAAGCCGTGCCGATCACAAGGGTGACCGAACGGGAGAAGCTGACCGTGAGGGTGAGAGGGGTCAACCGTGAGGCGTGCCGACCGTGAGGGTGGCCGAGCGAGAGGGGTCGACCAAGAGGCGTGCCGACCGCGAGGGTGGCCGAGCGAGAGGGGTCGACCGAGAGGCGTGCCGACCGCGAGGGTGGTTGAACGGGAGGGGTCGACCGAAAGGTGTGCCGACCGCGAGGGTGGCCGAGCGGGGGGGGCGACCGAGAGGCGTGCCGACCAGGACGGCGCGGGGCTCAAAAAGAGAGGGGGAGGGTGGGGCCATGTGATGATTTGAAATGGAAAGGACAGGGGAAGGGGAGGGGACAGTGCATCGTGGCCATACACGTGGTAATATCGTGGGAAAGTGAAGCGTTGGAGCAGAAATGAAACGATAGGTCACGAAGGGGGGTTTTGAAAAGGCAGTTTTTGGCGGTTGATTTGAAAGGTTTTGAAACGGGCGAAAATTAATGTGGATCCATGGAATACGGGTAAACCGTGGGTGTTTGGTATAATGCGTTTCACCTACCGTGTTACAAAAACTCAAAATATCCAAGTGTTAATTCCTTCACTGCGTACGACACACCTGTGTAGCACTCTCTCAACTCCCCTGCTCTTGCGTCAGAAGTGATTTGCAAGCAAACCCTAGAAATGGCACAAGAAGAAGTAGTGAATGTGAGGGTGGACCCGCTGGGGGATGATGATGCGGAGGAGTTAGCAGCGCGATACAAGACGGAGACACGGGTGGTGGGGGCGGAGGTGGGTGAATCGCAGGCGTCGGCCCTGATATTGGCTCCAAAGCCACTAAGCCACGTAGAGCCAGATCAGTGGCACACTAAGGCGGACAAATCCACACTCACGGCGGCGGATTTGGAGGTTATCAGGGAACGATACCAGATTCCGGCGGAGGTAGAGTTACTGTTGCCAACAAGGGAAAGGCTGTCTACTGCGAGGCCAGGGGAGTTTTCCCTGTACGAGGAGGCGCTAAAAGGTGGGCTGAGGTTGCCACTACCTCAAGTGGTGGTTGACGTGCTGAATCGCCTGGAGGTAGCGCCGGGGCAATTGATGCCCAATGCATGGAAGATTCTGCTAGCCTGTGCGAGTGCGTGGCCTAAGGCGAATGGGGGAGAGGCCATGACGGTAGACGAGTTCTTTTCGTGTTACAAGGCGTCGGGGCAGCAGGAAACTTGGGTCACCCTACAAGCGGTGATGGGGAGGGGATTGGTGGCGGGGCTGCCTACGTCGATCAAGGGGTGGCGGCCACGGTGGTTCTACGTGTCTGCTAATGGGGGGGTGGGGGTGCGCACCATCTGGAAGGTGCCAACCAAGTCGATGGAGTCGAGATTGGGGGCGATGGTGGAAGAGAGGGTAAAGAGGGTGAAGGAGTGGAAAGAGAGAGAGAAGGCCAAATGGGACGAGCTTGTCCAACCGTCTGCCTTGTTTGAGGCGGGGCTGGGACCGCAGCCGAAGGGCGGAGACCTTGGCCGGGCAGAATTGGAGGCGAGGAGAATAGCTCAGGAGGTAGAGGATCAGGCTATTCTGGCCAAGGCCACGAAGTTGAAGGAAGCGCAAAGGGACCGACCGCCTCAACCGATCGCGCGGGAGAGGATCCGACCGTGCCCAAGGCCGTTGGGGGAAAAAGACTTAAGCAGTTTTGAGCCGCGGCCGCCTCCTGTAGACCCTGTAAAAGAGCAGGCTAGAAAAGAGGGGGAGGCTCTGAAAAAGAAGAAAAAGAAGAGGAGTGCCCCAGAGGAAGTCGCAGATGAGTCTGGGGCCAAGAGGGCTAAGGTGGCCCCAACTGAGGTGGAGGTCCCTGTGGCCAAGGACACCCCAGAGGTGGTGGAGATCATCCCAACGGTGGAGGTTGTGGAGATTGCTCCAACAGTGCAAGTGGAAGCTGTGATGACTGAGGCGGTGCCGAGCGGGAGGGAACAGGTCCAGAAGGGGCCTGACCCCCAGGAAGGAGGGGTTCGTCTGGCGACGGGGATCTATCATGCGCGCGCGGTAGCTGGAAGGTTGGAGGGAGAAGGAGGCCCAGCCAGGGCGGGGGCAGACCGCCTGGTGAAGATTGTGGAAGAGACAGCTCTGCGTGCAGCATCTGGATATAATGAGGCTGACCTGCTGAGGGGGTTATGCTCCGCCCAAATGGAGGTAACTACCTTGGCAGGGGCCCTCCTTAGGAAGGCAGGGGCTGCCAAGTTAAAGGCTGAGGAGGCCAAGGCCCAGTTGGCCAAATTGAAGAAGGACAGTGCCGACTGGAAGACTGCCCATGCCGATCTGCCAGCAGTCAAGTTGGAGCTGGAGGACACACGCCGTAAGGTCGTGTCGCTCGAGTTCCAACTGGCTGGTGAACAGAAAAAGTTGGAAGAGTCTGAAAGGGCCTGCGCCGTGGCGGTCGAGCGGCATGAAGAGGCCATGACCAGCAATGAAGAGCTGGTCAGGCAAAAGGATGAAGCAGATTCCAGAATTGGGGATCTATTGAAGGAGTTGGAGGAGGAGCGTGCCAGAGCAGAGGAGGAGAAGGGGAGGCTTCCGAGGGAGTGGGAAATGGAGAAGGCGAAGGCGGTGGCAGAGTCGGAGAGTCTGAAGAAGGGGGTGGAAGAGGAGAGGGCGATGGCGGCTGCTGAGAGGGGGGCCCTGCAAAGGGAGCTGGATGAGGAGAGGGCGAAGGCGGCGTCTGAGAGGGCGGCCTACCTTGATCTGTGCGTCGCAGCAGTGGAGCAATATAAAGGGTCCCCCGAATTTCAGATGGTGGTAGACGCCGCTGTCGCCAGGAGTCTGGCTGGGCAAGAGTCTGGGGGGATGGGCCCATTAAGGAAGACTACTGGAGGTAGGACAGAGGCAGAGGTGATTGAAAGCTTCCAACAGTCAGACTTCTACAAGCACGAAATGGCCGAGTTCTGGGACAGCGGTTGGAAAATGTTCAAGCGCAGAGCTGAAGAGTTGTTCCCACACTTGGACCTTAGTAGTGTGACAATAGGCGAAGATGATGTGGCCCAGACCCCCCTGGACGAGGGCATTGAAGAAGAAGAGCTGGCGTCCAGCGAGGACGAATAACCAAGAAGAAGAAAAGCTGGGCATGCTCTGTGTTTGTTTTTTTTTTTTTGTAATGAACTTGTGGACACAATGTAAAGGAATGAGTGAATGAATGAATGTATGAAGAATTTAATTGTAATGAATTTGTGTACAAAGGTTACTTTGTTTATGTTGCCAGTTGAATTTTGTTTATTTTGTTTATGTTGCCAAAATAAATGAAGTGTTGTTATAAAAACTGGTCATAAAGATTGGGTCAATAAAAAAATCGTGTAAAGTTAAAGTTAACAGTTCCTCCCTGCGGAGTGTGATTGGAGTTGTATGAAAAGTGAAAGGATGATAGTGTTTGGTTGAAAAATTGGAGTAGGAAATTGTAGAACATAATATTAAGCACGGATGAAGACTAAACAGTTAATTGCAAATTGTAACCAAACAGTTAATTGTAAACTGGGTGAGGCGGCAAATAATCTGATTAGTAAATGAGATACGTGAGAGCATGTTTGGAATTTAACTAGGTAAAAACGTGGTCCTGGAATTGTGAAGAAGCTTCAAAATGTGACTAAGTGTTAAAAATGTGGTTCTGCTTGGCTTTGAAGCGCTCAGTCAGGCCGAGGCTTTAAAGTGCTCAGCCTAGCTGAGGCTTTGAGTGCTCGGTCTGGCCGAGGCTTTGGAGTGCCCATTTGGTCGAGGCATTTGAAGTGCTCGGTTTGGCCGAGGCTCTGAAGTGCTCAGTCTGGCTGAGGCTTTTGAGGTGCTCGATCTGGCCGAGACTTTGAAGTGCTCAGTCTGGCTGAGGCTTGTGAAGTGCTCGGTCTGGCCGAGGCTTTGAAGTGCTCAGTCTGGCTGAGGCTTTTGAAGTGCTGGGTCTGGCCGAGGCTTTGAAGTGCTCAGGCTGGCTGAGGCTTGTGAAGTGCTCGGTCTGGCCGAGGCTTTGAAGTGCTCAGTCTGGCTGAGGCTTGTGAAGTGCTCGGTTTGGCCGAGGCTTTGAAGTGCTCAGTCTGGCCGAGGCTTGTGAAGTGCTCGGTCTGGCTGAGGCTTTGAAGTGCTCAGTCTGGCTGAGGCTTGTGAAGTGCTCGATCTGGCCGAGGCTTTGAAGTGCTCAGTCTGGCTGAGGCTTTTGAAGTGCTAGGTCTGGCCGAGGCTTTGAAGTGCTCAGTCTGGCTGAGGCTTGTGAAGTGCTCGGTCTGGCCGAGGCTTTGAAGTGCTCAGTCTGGCTGAGGCTTTTGAAATGCTGCAAGTGAAAAAGTTATAGGAGCGACATAGAGATAGTTGAATTATGAAAGCCGAGGTCACCAGTCGGAATTTGCATGATGTATAAAAGGGAAATACAACAATATCGACAATACAAAAGTATGAACTTATTGGTAGTAACGCTTCAAATGTTCCGCATTCCAGGGATGGGGCAGGTCTCGGCCTTCCATGTCTTGAAGTCGGTAAGTGCCTGGTCGTGGTCGGGCTTTGACGATGTAGGGGCCCTCCCATTTGGCTGCCAGTTTGCCCTCGGTTGGATTCTTTGTGGCAAGAGTCACTTCTCGTAAGACAAGGTCCCCTACGGAGAACTCTCGTGGTCGGACTCGGCGGTTGTAGTGTGTTCTCATTTTCTGCTGGTACGAAGCCA